TACGAAGCCTCAGTAAAAACCGATTGTTTCTTGACTTGTTGCGAGAACATACCTAATCCCCATGCTTCCTGCCAAGGGCATATGGTTGGGTTTTTTTGACTCTTGTAGAGAAAAACATATCTGAAGATCTCCAAGCACTTTACAGCTAGATGGTTGCATCTCACAGAACTCCCTACCGTTAATGAAGTGATGTCTCCCTCGCGTTGCAGAAGGGTTACTGAGACGCAGCGCTGGAGTCACCTCTTTGGAGCCGTAGATGCAGCTCCGTAGGGAAGGGAAAGGGTTTTCTTTCCCCATGGAGGTCACGCAGCGCTGTGCCAGTGACCAGGGATGCCCAGAAGCCAGCCTGGAGCAGCAGCAGCCCCTCCGACCTGTCCGGGGGCAGCTGGGTGCCCTGCGCCAGAGCGTTGCGGTGGTCAGGGCATGGGGAGCAGAGACGTGAATACATACTCATTGACCTAGGTGTCTTCTGGCCACCATAAGCACCCTGGCGTGTGGAGCCGAGCATGTGAATGCCGCTGTATTTCTGTGGAGGGTTTCTCAAATGTGGCAGTAGGTGCAAATGTTCCCAGGCGTTGGGGTGCAAGCATCTGTCCAGAAAGCTGCTGGAGCGGTCCCTGGCGCTGCTTCGGCCCGTGCCAGCAGACTCTGCTCTGAACCATTCCCGGGCGTGCCTCGGGCGTTAGCCCAAGCCTGCGACTGTTCTCAATAGGCAGTTTGGATGTGGGCGACAGATTTTGGAGGATAAGAGTTTACGGTTTGGACATGGGCAGTCGATGCCAGTAGCAGAAAACAGGCTGGGCATGCTGAATTCAGTGCCATAGGTGTGGCCTGAAAATATTCAGGCTCTCCTCCTTCAGAGGCCTTAGACCGCAGACAGAAGAAAAATCCTGGCTTGGGCTTGAGGATTTATGCATGGGTGGAGAGGATGAGTCTAGTCTTAAGATTAGGTTCAGTCCATGATTAATTGGCTGCGTAGACAAACCCTTAATGAATCAGTGATGGACTGGGGAGAAAAGCCCTAGAGTGAGACTCAATTACCAATTTCCTTCCCTGGCCTCGGGGCAGCACACTCGGTGTTCGCAGGCAAATGGTTTCGTCCCTGTATTACGTTATGCCGAGTGCAGCTCAGGAGAAAATTTTCAAGAGCCGAATTGCTCTCACGAGGTGCTGGGGGTTGCAAGCTTTGCAAAGCTGCGAGGTGCCTTGCGTGGCGGCGGCGGCAAGGTTCCCTCTGCTCAGCAGCATCGCAGTCACCCCGTGGCCAGGAGGTAACAACGGGCTGCCATTATTGGCCACAAGTTTTGCAGTAGTTGCGTTTCCCAGACCTGTCTCCGACCGGCTTCCTCTGGAGCCGGC